TTGATTTGGATCATCTTTTCCACTGGATATTCTAGCTAATGGTTTATAAATAATGTTTATCTTTTCAAAGAATTTTATTTTCCTGTTCTCTATTTTATTTATTTTTGCTCTAATATTTATTAATTTCTTTCCTTCTGCTAACTTTGGGCTCAGTTTCTTCTTTTTCTAATTCATTGAAACAGGTTGTTTGAGATCTTTCTTAATGTAAGCACTTATTGCTACGAACTTCCCTCTTAGAATTGCTCTTGCTGCATTCCAGAACTTTTAGTATGTTATTTCCATTTTTGTCTCAATTTAATTCCCCACCTTTAATGTCTTCTTTGATCCATTGATTGTTAGAAGAGTGTTGCTTAATTTTCATGTATTTGTGAGTTTTCCTCATTTTATTGATTTCTAGTTTTATACCATCATGGTCAGAGAAGAGACTGGAAAAGATTTCAGTCTTCTTGAATTTGGTGAGATTGTTTTGGCCTAACATATGGCCTATCCTAGAAAATGTTCCATATGTGCTTGACAATGTGTCTGCTTCTATCGTCAGCTAGAATGTTCTGTATATCGGTTAGGTCCACTTGGTCTACAGTGCTGTTCTAATCCACTGATTCTGTATCTAAATGATAGATCCACTGTTGAGTGTAGAGCACCAAAGTCCCCAGCTATTATGGTTATTTTTTCTGTTAACTCTGTTAGTTTTGCTTTATACACTTAGAGGCTCTGATGTTGTGTGCATATTTAAAATTGTATCTTCTTGCCGAAACCGGTTTGGCTCAGTGAATAGAGCGTTGGCCTGCGGACTGAAAGGTCCCAGGTTCGATTCCGGTCAAGGGCATGTACTTTGGTTGCAGGCACATCCCCGGTAGGGGGTGTGCAAGAGGCGGTTGGTCGATGTTTCTCTCTCATCGACGTTTCTAGTTCTCTATCTCTCTCCCTTCCTCTCTGTAAAAAATCAATAAAACATATTTTAAAACAAATAAACAAAAAACCTATGTATATAAATTTGATAGAAAAATTAAGAGTCCCCTTTTCTAAAGAGTGTTTTAATAAAGAGGATATTTATGCCAAAACCGGTTTGGCTCTATCCTGACGACTGAAGGATCCCAGGTTCAATTCTGGTCACGGGCATGTACCTTGGTTGCGGGCACATCTCCAGTAGGGGGTGTGCAAGAGACATCTGATCAATGCTTCTCTCTCATCAATGTTTCTAACTCTCTATCCCTCTCTCTTCCTCTCTGTAAAAAGTCAATAAAAATATTTAAAAAAATAAAATTGTATCTTCTTAAATCCTTTATCATTATTAGTCTTTTACCATTTTTAAAGTCTGTTTTATCTGACTCTATGTGAGTGTATTATAGCTACCCAATAATTTTTGAGGGGTTATCATTTGCTTGAAATATCTTTTTCCATCCCTTCACGCTAAAGTTTATCTTTTATAGGCAATATATTGTTGGGTCTTGTTTCTGTGTTGTCTTTAATCCATTCAGCCATTCTATATCTTTTGACAAGTATTTAGTCCATTTATTTTTAAAGTAATAATTGATGGATAAGGCCTTCTTATTGCCATTTTGTTCATTGTTTTTGGCTGCTTTGTAGATTTGTTTTTCCATGTTTTTTTGTTTGTTTGTTTTTTGTATTGTTTTGGTTTTTTGTTTTTATCCGTCTGTCTTTTTTTTTTTTTTTGCTTTGGTGCTTTTTGGTATCAATATGCTTTGCTTTTTTTATATTCTTTTGTGTAATACAAGTACAGGTTTTCCCTTGTGGATACCATGAGCCATACATAGGATATCGTATAATTATAACACCCTATTTTAAACTGATAACAATTTAACTTTGATAGCATTCCTAAACTTCATACTTTTACTCCCCTGATATAACTTACATTTTAAGTTATATCACAGTTTACATCCCTTATATTGAATATCCAATAACAAATTATTGTAGTTATGGTTATTTTCATACATTTGTTAACTTTTAAACTAGAGTTGTAAGTGAACTATATACCATCATTACCATATTACAGAATCTAATTTTGATAATGTTAACTATAACCAGTGAGTTTTATATTACCTTCATATATATATATATATATATATATTTTTTTTTTTACCTTATATTTTTATGATGTCAATTAGCATCCTTTTACTGCCACTTAAAGATCTCCCTTTAGCATTTTTGTAAGGCAGGTCTAGTGGGGATGAACTCCATGAGCTCTTGTTTATTCAGGAAAGTCTTTATCTCTAATTAATTTCTAAAGGACAGCTTTGCCAGGTATAGAGTTTTTGGTTGACAGTTTTTTCCTTTCTACTTCAAATATACCATCTCATTCTGGTTTCTGAAAAGTTTCTGTTGAGACATCTGCCAGTAGTCTTATGGAAGTTCCATTTTACATAACTTGTCTTTTTTCTTGCTGCTTTCAAAATTCTCTGACTTTTGGCAATTTAATCATAATGTGTCCCAGTGTAGCCCTATTCTTTTCCAACCTATTTTAAGGTCTTTGGGCCTCATGAATCTCTTCAGGGATTTGGGAAGTTTGCAGCCATTATACTTTCTGTCCTTTCGGAATTCCCATGTGTAGATACTATTTCTTTTCATTGTGTCCCATAAGTCCTGAAGGATTCTTTTTACTCCTTTATTTTTTCTCCTCTGACTGGATAATTTCAAATGTCCTGTCTTCTAGATCACTTTAGGTCAAGTTTGCTTTCAAATTCATCAATTTTAACTCAATTCTCAAATTTTTCAGTTCAGTCCTATTTTTTATGCTAGGATTTGTTTGGTGCCTGTTTTTTTGGTGGTTTCTATTTCTTTGTTGCATTTCTTTCCATTTGGTTTATGCATTGGTCTTCCTATCTTCCTAATTTCATTTAGTTGCCTGTGTGTTCTTATAGTTCCCTAAACTTCTTTAATATGATTATTCTGTATCTTTTGTCTGACTGTTAATAGATCTCCATTTCTTTAAGGTTAGTTATCAGAGTTCTTTTAGTTTCTTTTGGTGGTGTCATGTTTACCTGATTTTTCCTGATTCTTGATTGCTTAAGTTGACATCTGTACATTTGAGTAAACAATTTCCTCCTTTTACAGGTTTGCTTTGACAGAGACAGTTCTTTACCTGTCGGCTCAGTTGAGTTTCTGGACATACCTGCTGGTTAAGTTCTTAGGCAGTTGAAACTTCCTGTCTCTTTTTAGACAAGGCCACTGCCCAAGTACTGAGGGGGAGAGGCATAAGTTAGCTAAGAACAGTTGATAGGGCTGCTGGCTTGGTTTCCTGCCAAAGCAAAACTGTAGGATGAGCTCTGTGGTTGCATGGGTTCTCTGTGTAGGCTTATAGTCATTTGGTACTCTACTTAGCAATGAACTGGCTTTTCTGCCTGGCACAAAAGCAGAACAGGCCTCAGGGAAGACTGTACACTGAATTCCCTGAACAGCCATAGCCACCGGTCTTAGTTTGCAGAGGGAGAAAGCCACAGGCTGTGCTGTTTGCTCAACTACCACTGGAAGGTTTGCTGGATGGGCTGTGCAGGTTCCTCTGCTCTGGTTAGATTCCTTGGTAGGGCAGGCTGTATTCAGCAATGGCCAGGCTATAAATTACTTTCCCTGCCCAGGCATAGTGGGAGAACTGATCTCCAAGGGCAGCCAAGGCTTTGTTTGTGATCTTGATTCAAGCCAACCTGCTCCCCAAGTTCCCTGGAGGAATGATGCTATTGGCCTTTCTCTGCAGGTGATCAGCTCTGCCTGACATACTCTGAGTGCTGCTGGGCTGTGCAGCTTCCAGGTGGTCTGGCCACCATCTCTGATCAGGCAGGGCCAGGTGCTGTAGTCAGCAGTGAGTGCAGCTATACCTGCCTGGGTGAGGTCAAACTAGGATCCAGCAACTCTTTTAAGGACTTAAATCAGATCTGTATCCTGAGTTCTCTGGTCAGACTCTACCACCATCTTGGCTCTTCAGATCAGCAAAGGCACCAGTTGGGACTACTACTTGGATGCTATAGGTAGGAACTCAGTCTGCAAAGATCCATGTGCTGGTTGTTGTAGGTCCCTCCCCTATTCCGTGTCACAGATTTCTCTGCACTCTTCTTGGGGAAAGACTGGAATGGGGGCTCCCAAGAAGCACCCCACAGTGCTGGGGAGCTGGATGTCTGCTCTGGCTTCTCTTTTCCTAATGGAGGAGCTGTAGGCTCAAGGTAGACCTCTCAGCAAGATGCTGCACTGAGCAGGGGGAAGGGTAGTGCTGTCATCATGTAGCCACTCCTCTTACCCTTTTAATGGGGTCTGTCTTGGTCTCGGTGGTGCAGGGGGTTCTTCAGCTGCTAGATCCTAGAAATCTTTTATTCAAGGATTTGCTCAGTGGTCTCTTGTCCATGAATAGTTATTAGTTGTCCTTTTGATGAGGGAGCGTGAAGTCAGGAATGACCTAGGTCACAATCTTGGTAATGTCACCTCAACTCAGCCTTTATCAGACTCATGACATCTGCCCCACAAATTTAGTTTCAGGCTTAATCATAGGGAGAGCGCCTAGTATACAACAGGTCCGAACAAATGTTGGCTTTTTCCCGTGTAGCCCAGCCTTCCAATATCATTCCCTCACTAATACACAATGCTTTGGACACATCTTCTTACTGACATTCCTGTACAAATGCTTGTATCTCTCTGTTCATGCCAATTCTGCTGCCTAGAAAGTCCTTTTCTCACTAAGTAACTACTCCTCCTTTAAAACCCCCAGCCCAGCCAAATCACTATCCATCCCACATGTTTCATGCCATCCAGCTCCTTGCTCTCAGTACTTCTGGCCTATCCCATCTTGAAGGCAAGGACTCATGGCTCCTTAATTCAGAAACTATGCAACAGGGGAAAAAAGTAGAATTCAACATTGAATATACTGCTACTGAAATTAGGAATGGGAGGTTGAAAGATCTCCCAAGTTCAGCAAATACTATTTCTATAGCTTCTAGGAGCCTTAAAGAAATTTCATTTTCTCAATACTGTGATCTTCCCTTCTCTGATCCCACCAGCTACCAGCTCAGGAAGCACCTATCCCACCTTCTGCATATGAAGCAGCGTGGAGCCAGAGATATGGACAGATGGAACCGAGAATGCACAGCATTGCTCCTCCAGGTTTGGAGAAAGGAACTGGAAATAAAACCCTCAAAAGCCACTGCAGTGAGCAGGATCACCAAGAATCCACCCAAGAACAGCTCAGGCACAAAGTCCACCAGGCACTCAGTGCTCAAGCAAATCTACGGTAACTGTCCTTCTAGGCACTTTGTAGTTTCCAGGAAGCACCCCCCCCCCCCAGCATGTCACACCAGAATCTAAAAAGGGATTTAATTGCATTGGGCAAACCTTCGTTCAGGTAGAAACTTGATTGTATTTCCAGTCACCAAGAGTCTCAGCACATTTAGTGCCACCCTTCCAGAAATTCTGGATTAGAATTGGTTTGAGATGAGGCATTCTGGCATCTCAGCCCAGAAAGCCTTCTAGCCTAAGCTCTTCTGCTGGTTTCATAGCTAAAACCTCTTCAGGCCACTACTTGGGTCTTCCCCTTACATTACCAATTTGGAGGACTCCAAGCACCTGCCTGCCTCACTTTGACCGTTTTTTGTTGTTGTTGTTGTTGAGAAAGTACAGGCCTGCCTACCTGGGAATGTCCCAAACCCAAGCACTACAGTAAATGCTTGTTTAGCAGATAAAAACGTTTTCAGCTCTGTAAACAGCCCATCAAAATAAACTCAGCAGAGAACCCAACTAGCTCCCCAACAGGGAAAAAAAAAAATTGTTTTGAGCCAAAGCACCTTTAACAGACCTGTGGCTCAGGCAGCAAAATCTCAAAACTCACCGCTGGCCTAATGGTATTTCCACACCACACTTAATTTAGGCAGATCCTTGCTTGCAAGCTCAAGCCTTCACTCAAGAAATTCAGAACTTGGTCAGGCCACAGCTGTCATTGCTGAGAGACAGACTATCATTGTTGACTGATTTCAGGTTGCTCTCAAGAAGGGAAAGTACATCATCCCACAAGATCTTCAAAAGCCCCTTCCGTGCTGCGTCTCAACTCAGGTAAGGCAGCCACTGCACTGTCAGTGTGGGGAAGCACTCTCCTTTTTCGTTTCATCCCCAAAGACAAGACTAATTGCCAGGGGTTTCCAATGGTCAACTAGACATGTTTTTCATCCCCCTTTCCTGGAATTATTACTGCAGTCAGCCTCCATCGCCATAGGAGGCAAGTTATTTTTATAACCGAAGCTATTGTTAAAATTACCTCCAGTAGATAAAATAAACTGTAGCTGCTATTGATCACCTTTACTTACTCGTTCACATACAGGAAGGGGGAAATGAAAATACTGCTGTTCTTCAAAGTCATACCTTGGGAGTTTTTGTTCCATTTTGGTTTCACATTAAGCTCCTCCACCTCCTTCCTAAAGTTGGAAAGAGGCCCTTAACCACAAATTCTAGCTTTTGCTTTTTAGGGCCTCACAAGGAAGACATTAATATGTAACAGCATGTCCAGTTCAGGCTCAACTGTGCACTTCCCCTCACAGGAGCAGCTCAGGAAACTTTTCCAGCTGCAAAGCAGGGTATTTTATCCAGGGCCCCTTCATTCACACCAGCTTTAAGTGTGGGTGATAAGTTCAGTGCTGTCAGCAGTTAATGCCAGGTCGGTGTTTCTCATGGGTGGCTGTGACAACACGCTGCCCCCATCCTCCCAATCCAGTCATCCTGCAGGACAGAGTGCAGCTGGGAAGGTGAACAATGACTGTCAGCATGAACTTTAACATTCATTTAGTTTTTGATGGGGGGAAACTTGGAGGTAAGGGAAGAGTAATTACTGCCAAATCTTTAATAAGAAGAGTCAGGCAACTCATGTAATATAGGCAGACTGATCAGGGAATGGTGGGTGAGGTAGTCGGAAACTTTCAAAGTATTAAGGCCCATTGTCGTTCTATGTAAAAAAAAAATGAAAACAAAAAACCCCACACATTATACTTGAGTGAATTAAGGATGGTTTCCAAAACAGAACGATCAGATTTAACTACAAGAGGGGTAGCAGTTAGGTAAACGTGTCTCAAGAGAAAAACCCAGTACTACCAGAAATCTTTAAAAATGAAGGTATTTAGTAGAACAAAAGGTTTTTGAAGGACTCACAGTTAAGGAACAGAATAAAGAAATGGAAAGAAATGCATAACCATTTCTTAGGACTTCATATGAATAGCTTTTTACCTACACATATAATTCAGACAGGTCTAAAAATGGACAAGGACTGAAGGGAATCCTTTCCTAAGCCTGAACTTGGGCAACACAAGATTCTTATTAGGCTCACCCAACCTTGTCAACCATTAACCAGGAGATGCTCAGAGCTGCTAGCTACAGTTTAGCTGAAGCCTGTGTTTTATACCGAAAACAGGTCTATAAGTTTCTGCAATGTGAAATCATGTATCAGATTGAACCAAAAAGAAATCATTAATTTTGGTCTTCAAACCTTGACTAGAAAGAGTTCATTTTTTGCTTAAGAATTCCATAGGGTTATTTTCTGATTTTTCTCAGTTCTGTTTTGCTTTAGAAATTGTTTGGCACACCGTAGGTATTCAGATATTTGCATGACGACTGTTGCTCCCAACCTTACAGGAGGAGCAGAATGTGAGCTGGTTAGAGCAAAAGTAACAGCACCCACAGACTGTTTCTGTACAACAATCCCTGTTCCCTCGTCTTCTACACCCAACCTGCTAACTACCCCCAAAGAATAGCACATAGTAATGAGCTGAGTGTGAGCGTGTATATACATGTACAAATACAAACAGGCTCTCCCAAACTTGGGGTCCACCTCTTTAAAAATAAAACTCTCTTTAAAAAAACAAACACATTCCACTGAATAAAATAACCATGGCTAAAGTGATTGTTAGTAATGGTATCCCCTTGTATGAATGTAGAATATTCCTGCCTATGTGGAGCCAGGTATACAGATAAAACCTCAAGACTTTGACAGTAAAGGCAGCCAAAAAACATGCCAGAGTTCTAAAGCTGTAGTTCAACAGTAATCAAAAAGGGACAGAAAAAGACCTGTGTTAACTTTTTAAAACTACTCATCTTTCATGTTTGCTTCTTTGTTCCACAAAAGTTAGGGGCACATAGCATTACAGCCTCAGCAAGGTCTCATAACCATTTGGGGCTTCAATATCCTTAACTGTTACATGGGAGGGTTGAGTACACCACTAATTTTTCCAGTTGTAGTGTCCTACAATTTTATAATTTCAAAGTCATATAAAGGCCTAAAAATCGATTTCAAGTTTGATATAGCTACCAGTCTGTCATCCGAATAGTTTTTAAACCTATTTTCTAGCATGGACTATAGTCAAGTCTGTGACACATGGACTTAAAAGATATGTACATGTATGTGTAAGTTTGTATTGTTATATTAGAGAGATGCTCAGAGAGAAAGATATACCAGTTTTTCCAGGCCAGCTGAAGGCCTAGGCTCGCATCCACCCCTCCCATTCATGGTTCTTCCTTGAGAGATGTCATGTATTTTTGAGATGATGGAAAATGCGAGGCTGATATAGCATCTTGTCTCTACGACACACTGGCCATCATATATAAGCCAAAACTAAATCTTTTTCTTACCTTCAACTTTAACCTATTTACCTGTATTTAACAGTGAGCAATTTACAGTGTATACACCTTCTTGAGAACAGTGGAAGATCAAAGAACTTTTCTTATAACCTGCAATCAGCCACTCAATCAAAATACAAAACAAAGCCTCGACTGCCTCTAGAGGAAGACTGTGCCCGGGGTAACTGGAATAAGCTAGTGTAGAGTTCTGATTATCTGTTGACTTTGTTTGGATATTATCTAAACCTGCGCTGAGAAGACCAGGCTACGCTGTGCCTAATCAGAACCGTCTAGCTGTCTGCCTTCACCTGTCCGTGTGGCTAGAGAGGAGGATGTATGACTCAAGTCTAAGGAAAACTAAGAACATGCAGGCTGCTGGGTTGGGACTTCTGCCAGCCAGCTGGTGCAGGCCTGGTTTTCTGGCTTCAGTGAAGAAACTAAATGAGACGGCAAGGAGCCTGTCCTGCAGCAACCACCTTCATTTCACTATTTTTCCGGAATCTAATGCAACCAATTTCATTACAGAAACTACATCCTATTATTCCATTATCAGTTTTAAATTTTAGACCGGAATCATGACCCAGCATTTGCTTTTAGAAATTATCTGTAAGATTACAATAGGTGCTCTGTTCACCTCTGCAGACTCCTTACGTATTTTACAGTCATGTTAGCCTCTGAAAGCCACAGGCTGCTGCCACACCCTCTGTGAACAGAGATGCTGGTATCACTGACACCAAGGAAATTAGGCAGGTGTACAGACCAGGCATTTATGCAGCAGGTACCAAGGCCTTAACATTCCACTTGTATTTTCTGCACGACTTGCAGAGATGAGCAATCATCAAAATGTCATTCCTATTGATGGGAAACCGCTAACTACATATATTCTAGCTCTCTAAGCACACCTGGTTTAAACAAAATCTAGTGATTTGGGGCTTTTTCACATTTTTTATGGCAAAGCTAATGTAGGAATGGAGTCAGACACAAAGAGTGACATAGGAGGCTCACAAATACTTCTAGAACTTCTTCCATTTTCTTAAGATTACCGTCACCATTGTCCTGACAGTAAGAAATAGGAAGCAACAAAGTATTAATGTAATCCCCTTGATTTTTTTTTTATAGTTTGCTAATTAAATTATTTCATGACTAGAAAAATCTATCATAGAAAACACAATACAGCTGGTAATTTTTGGAGAACTGTAATGGGTTAGGAAATCACTTTTAAAGTAGTTATCTCGGACCAACCACCATTTAGGTACAGGAAAACCAAAACAACTATCTTGAAATCTTGCCCTCCTGCACTAAGTGTTACAAAACCTCTGCAAATAACACCATAGTGAGAAGCTCAACATCGTCATGGGTAAGAGTAACCCCCCCCCAAACAAAACGATGAGGTTTGCCTGGATGGGATCTCAAAGATTTAGCTAATTTTTTGGTAAATAGTAGACAGTACTATGTTATCACTCTGTATTTTGTAAATATTTGATTCCTATGAAATGTAAATATACTGCCACATATCATGTGCTACTCCAGGAAGTCAGCCTGCATTGTTTTCCTACCTTAGTGCAAAAGAATGTTCATAACAACTTCTTTAAAAGTTCAGCTTTAATGACAAACATTTCTTACATCAGTCTCTTCAAAATTAGATATGAATAAACAATTTTAAACAGGAAGTGCCATGGTGCCTCTTTCATATACTGTATTCAACACACTGGGCCCCTGAGGATGCCCGGTGATATACACATTAAAACAATAATGTAAGTCCGTAAGCCACTGCTCCTGAACACCTCCACTCTTCAATGCCTGTAAAAAATACAAAAAACGCAAGAGTAATTTGAGAATTCCACTAAAATTGCTATGCTACTGAAGTGCTTTTCACATCCAAACTTGTCAAAAGCCAATGCAACAAGTATCCTCACCTATAAATCACCACAGGAACTCTTACTGCAAATGGGGACCTATTAATGAGACACTATTAGGCAGTGAAAAATTCCTAGTTACGCCCTTTCATATAAGGGATGTCAGTTTCTCATTTTGTTCCCTCCCACAGATAGGGACTGATGAAATTCCATCACCCACCATCCCGACACTGGGCTTCCTCCCTTCGGTATTCTAGAGTCTCTCCATCTTTGTCCAGGGCAGACGACAATTTCTGTCATTTCTTCCTCAGCCTTCCTCTGAATTACTATTACTAATCAATAATCTCCCCCAACCAAATACCTATACAAAAAAAAAAAAAAAATTCTCCCAAAATAAAAATGCCAAAGGAACCTGATAACAGAACCGCCCTCGGCCCTCAAAAAACACACAGCTGAGTACAACCAACCATTAGACAAGGCTGAAGCCTACAACTTCAATTTTTTACTCTCCAGGGAACCAACTAGAAATTGGCCTAACGTTTATTCCTGGTAAATAATTTCCTAATGACAGCTACCTAAAACTTTACGTGGCTGATCTCATTAATGGTCACCAAAACCCAACAAAATTACTATAGTCCCACTTCTACACCTAGGAAAACAAGCTTGGCTAGGTTTAAAAACAAAAAAACTTATCAAACAATCACAGTTAATCATCAGTCTCTATTAGTGATGACTAAGGCCTGTACCTTTTCCAACTAAGCTGCCTGCACCTTAATTCACTTTATGTATTTTAAGGCTTTTATGGCCAATTTTGGGACTAAGGAAATCCCATAGGTTAAGCGACTATACTACAGGAGAAACCTTGGGAAATCCCAACTGGGCTTGATTCCATGAATTTGTTCAATGCACAGGAACCCTGTACACCTCCATGCCTTGCCTGAAACCTTTCTAGGACTAAAAATACGAAGCCTTTGTTCTATGCTCTTACCGTGATGTTCTTGATGATCTGCTGCACCAAGATGGCATTGGTCAACATATGAGTCCTAAGGGGTGCGTGCTGAAGCAGCAGGCGAAGCAGCTGGCCCACAACAGGCAGCTCCTCAGGAGCAGCTCTGCTCACCCGCAGGCTCTGCAGCATCAACCTGAGGACTCGCGGCAGGAGAGCCAGGACAGAGACACAGACCCCCCACAGCTTGTCCCTACAAGAAGCAACAAAAACGAGTCGGTGAGCCAACACATTCAGAAGAGATTAGACAAAGATCTTCTATAGCATGTATGCATTACCTATGGACACAGACAATAGGGTGGCGAGGGGGTGGGGTGGAGGGGAACTCTGGGAAGAAAAAGGAGGGACATAATAATCTCAACAATAAAATTAATTTAAAAAAACTTCCTGCAATGAATTTAATAGGCATACCACTAAGAACATAGGCATGAGAACACTTTTTAAAAATTGAAGTGAAATATTCCAAACTACCCTAGAAGCTTTAGTCCGAATTTCCTATGGGAACAAAAGTAATAACTATTTAAAACACTAGTATTTTAGAACAATTAAGTTCAAGAATTTAAAATTCCACTTTGGCTATTTCTAATGAAGTCCAGAGGCTTAAACTAGTAAACTCATCCTTCTAAAGGTAGCAATGTTAATAAAGAAAGCTCTCAAAAAACTTACAATACTATCTAACTTTTCAAATCTGTTGCTTAAAAGAAAAAATGAAATTGAAAAATTTTCAAACCATAAAGGAGAGTCATGAAAGGACAAAGAAAAAGCTCTGGTGATGAAAGGAGACTTGACTTTGGGTGATGCACAAACATACAATATACAGATGATGTGCTGCAGAATCATACACCTGAGGTCTATATAATTTTATTCTCACCCCAATAAATTCAATATAAAAGAAAAAAACTAGGTTTATACAAACTTTGAAAAGGCTTTTAGGATATTTCTAAAATCCAATTCTCCTTCACTTGCATTTTTTTTTTAAATTGATTGATAGGGAGAATGGAACAAATTAAGAGAAAAATGTAAACTGAAGAATAAAAAATGATTACCTCTTTCTTAAATGCTCTGCTTCTCCTTTCTCTAAAGTGAGCAGGAAATACAGAAGACTATAGCAACAGGAAGCCAGGAACGGCAGCAGAGCCTCACTGAGTACACATGTGTGATCCAGGAGCCTACAGATAACACCCAAGACACAGCCAGCGGTGCTGTCAGGAATTACAGTGTACCCAACCTAGGCAGAGAAAAATGAGATTGATGACGTCTACACAAGTCCTATTAACTGGAGCGTTAACCTTACAACACTTCCACTGAAAAGTAGTATGTACACAATGCATGTCACCTGCCACACCTTGAGGCCCTGTTTTCCTTTGAAAATGTAATCTCTACATTAAATACATTGAAAACATGCAAATTCAAGAAATACTAGTAACCCAATCCATTGCTTCCTCTCATGACAAAGTCTTCTAAAACTTTCCAGATATTACAGAGTCTACTACCATTATTTAAAAGGATTATTTCATGCATCCAAAGAAAATCTTGATACCAACAATCACACTTATCTGATCTTTAGATTATCCAAACTGGAAAACACTAATATCTAGCACCAACCCCACCCCAGGTAATTAAGTATACAAAACAGAATTACTTGTGCAATTACTCTTCCTATGTCCTTTGATTTAGCTAGTCATTCAGACATGACTAAGTAATGGAATCAAGAAACTACTACTTACACTCAATAGCTACACTGCTCCAAACCCCAGGTAAAGATCATGGAATCCTAATTCATCTGGATTCTACTGTATAAACTGTAAGGTGGGCTCTAACTTGTAACTGTATAAATACATGGTTTAAAATCTCTTAGAAACTATCGTTGGATAGTCATAAAAAAAGTCTACAGGTTCTGAGGTCTTAATATTTCCATCAGGCTATCTGAAAATAATGGTCTAGACCAGTGGTCGGCAAACTCTATTAGTCAACAAAGCCAAATATCAATGGTACGACGATTAAAATTTCTTTGGAGAGCCAAATTTTTTAAACTTCTAACACACTTCTTCAAAATAGACTTGCCCAGGCCATGGTATTTTGTGGAAGAGCCACACTCAAGGGGCCAAAGAACCACATGTGGCTCTCAAGCCGCAGTTTGCCGACCACGGGCCTCGACTGGCATATCCATCTACGAGGATAATGAATGTAGTCAAAGGAGGCATACATTTCTGGACCAGAGGTTTAAAAAACACAAGGTGGGGATCTTTGGAGACAAAAGGGATAAGGATAAGAAGTTGATAGCAGGCAGAAAAATAATAATGGGAATACAAAGCAGTATTCTTCCAACATTTTAAAGAAGG